CTCTATGTGTGTTAAAGGAAATAATACAGGTGTTGACTACTTGTAAGCAGAGAGGAATGGTGGAAGTGGAGCCTTGACATTATTCATACTGGAAATCAAATGAACAAAACATTTCAAAACTGCCATTACGGTTGTAAATTAATCCTTTTAAAGTTTGATCAAGTGTACAGGGCTTTGTAATGACATGGTTATTTAAATGCCTGACTGACCAGCGGTCATTTTAGTATTTGTTCTGCTCTTGTTTGTATGAGCCAGCTTTTTACCCAAGACAAAGTCCAACCTCCTTTTCTTCTTCCACCAAATTTGAACATGTATAAGCCTGCTTAATGTCCCCTGATGCCAAAGGGGAAGCCTCTTGACACCGCTGTAATACATACTAGTGTTTTAAATTAGCCTTTATAGGGGAGATGCAGAAGATGAATCCGAACACGAACTCAGTACGTGAGAAGTGTGAAGAGACCGTAATGCTTTGTCTGTATGAACATCTAACGTTGGGTGGCCACTTTAGGATTTATCAGGCTTTGCACTCGTGGGCTGGCCTTAGGACCTTGCTCAGACCTAGTTTCTTTGTCCTTATTGTAATGCATGTACCCAGTTTCACTTACTGCCTTCACCCGGCGGGAAGTCTCGAGACGCTGCAGAGCCGTCCTCAGGGTAACATCGACTTCCCGTCTTACCGATTCTCCTCCATTTCCTTTCTACCCGTACATGAAGTTCTCTCATGACGTCCGAACTTTAGGGACCTGAGGGTTGGCAGGTGGGTTCTACAGTTACATTTTTGGTACCGGAACGTTATACCCAGCTTCATGCCAAAGGATAATTACCATTGTAATTCTGCCCTTCTTCTGATCAGCGGTTTCAACTCCTGATATGTTGATGTCCACATCGCCTCGACTGCATATCTCGGCCATAACTCCCTTGTCTTTTATAAACGCACATTAAACTTTTCAATAAAGCAGTTCCCAGTCGCCGCAATATCTACTCTGTGGACATTTACTCAATCCAGTTATTGCTGACTGCTTAGTCTGTTACACACGTATCATTTTGATAGGAGGTGCTGCCCTAAATAAATTTTATACATAGCTTTTCTACTTAGCCATCCTTACAATTCAGAGGGATTTTTTAATACTGACAAAGCTTAACAGCCTTTATATCTTTAGCGATTAGGAGAGTACAAAAATATTTGAAAATTAGTTTTAATTTTTAATAATTTTGGTGTACCAATAAATGAGTCTCGTCTCTCACTCGAGCCAATCAACGCAAGAGAGCGATGAAGTCTAATGTGATTTCTGCTTTTGGTATGACTGATTGATTAAATCTTAAAAATTGGTCAGATGATGATCTTCTTCATTCCACCGTCGTTGATGCCTCTAACATAAACGTTTTGGCCAAAGATTTGAGCAGCATACATCTTGAGGGTGATCCCGAAGTGAGATTCCTTTATTTTACTTTTCATGCTTGACAGATTCAATGGCTCCTAAGAACTGTTGGTTTTATCGATCTGACTACCCTTGCTGGTGATGACACTTCTGCTAATGTGCATCGCCTTTGCGCTAAGGCTAAGCGCCCTCTAAGTACTCCAATTCTGGACAAACTTTCCGAACGTTATGGAGTGAGCCCGGAGGAAGTCCGTAAGTCACTCCTACCATTATTAAACGTCAAAACTCAGGCACTGCTGCTGTTTGTGTCTACCCCTACCAAGTAAAAACTGCATCGGATTATCTCAAACGAATCAATGCCTCATACATACCCATAGCTGCCGTTGCTACTGGTTTCCCATCTGGCCAATATTCTCTCAAATCTAGATTAGAAGAAATCCGCTACGCCATTGACAGCGGAGCCTCCGAAATAGATATTGTTATCAATCGTACCCTTGCACTCGAAGGCAGGTGGAGAGGTAATACTTTAAATTTTTTTCTCTCTCATTACTTAACTCCACTCTAGACCTGTACGATGAGATTTGCGTAATGCGAACGACATGTGGAAGTCGTATTCATCTCAAGACCATCCTTGCGGTTGGGGAGTTGGGCTCATACGCAAATGTGTATGCGGCCTCAATGGCATGCATGCTTGCTGGGGCTGATTTCATCAAAACTTCCACGGGCAAAGAGAGTACCGTTAACGCAACTCTGCCAATCAGTGTGGTGATGTGCCGTGCCATTGCAGATTTCCAAGATACTTACGGCATTAAGGTGTGTCTCCCTCTCCCTTTCTTGTGGGCTTCATTTTTAGAATTTCCGAGCCTCATTTTTGTCCTCTACTTTGAGCAGACCACCTTTGGCTCTGCGAATTTCTTCTTTACATTCGGTCTCTTAAATGCCTCACATCGCTGTAAAATATCGACTGAATCAATTTGTTCAGTGATGCAAATTTTCGAAGTTTCTAGTGTGGTTTACAGCAATGGTAGACTCACAAAACGTATGTCTCTCTACTATGATGTGCTTCATGATCGACGCACTTCTGTAGATATGAAAAGCTGAGCAGTTTGTAATCTTAGCTTTAAACGTTGATGTATTCCACAATAATTTTCTTTATCATTATCTCCATTGTTCCCAACTCCATTTAGATTAAAATCGAAACTAACTCTTGTTTTCACCTTATTACTAAATAGTCATACTCATAGAATAACGGGCGACCTTTTCAATGAAATGGCGATTGGTGCTTCGGCCCACTGGTCGCCTATTCTTTGGCGCAACCTAACCTCATATTTTTTTCTCTGTTTTCCTCAGGTCATTTAAATCTTGTGTCTCCTATCTTGGCGCATCGTTTCACGATATCCCAGTC